AGTGTGTGTATACGCATTACATTACTTTGAATATGCAGTCTGATTTTTCTGATTGGTCATTGGTAGGTTTGACACCAGCGATGTCACGATTGTGATTTTGTGTTTGGTTCGCGCGCTACAGGTTGCACTACACCAAAGACGCATCCGTAGAAAACATTTCTAAATCAGACCGAAATAGTGCTGCCTGTTGACTCTTGGAAAGAGATTGGCCTTCGTTTTTTTTACTGGGAATTCAGGATTGCGGCCAGAAGATCTCTTTTTGTTTTGATTTTATGGGGGTTAGCCACGAAAATTATTTTTAATTTGCCTTTCCCCCAAGAGACCTCCAAAACAGAAGTAAACTTTGCACTCAGCTCTGAATTTAGCCGCCCGCCACTTTGGAAAGAAATACCCTGAGCTGGAAATTATCAATCCCAAATTTGGGATTTCTAGAAATATTTCTATGATCCCTCCTGATTATAGCATGTCTTATTGTAAAAACCCTGTGGGATCACCAAATATTAATAAGCTCGCACGCAGAAAAATACAACAATTTTTCTTCACCCCCGAAATTGAAGGATTTTGGAGGATTGAGGAGGGTCCCTAGCAAAAAGGGCCTAGGGGGCTAGGGTTAAAGCTAGTCTTGCAAAATTTCTCACTGTCTGCGGTTTTGTACATGTATGTGCATGTACATGTAAGCCATTTTGCCATTTTTTGCGGCTGTTCAATACTCAAAATCTCACTGTGGCACGAGTTTTCCTGTGTGTTTGTGTGATGAGGAGGTGATGTGAGATCTTTTTCAGAGAACAATGTTCTTGGGTCATGTTCTCTCCATTTGAGCTTGAGAACAAGAAACCCGTGTCAAGAACAGGCCGCCCGAACTCGACCAACATGTACATGTATGTGAGTGGACACTTTCATTTCAAAACAAGATTCTGTCAGTATCAACAACTATCACTTTACACGTAGCCTCATATTTTTTCATTATATCGACACTTTTGATATATCGATTTCAATGTTAAAGTGATATCATTCATATGGATATCAAAGCAAAATTGATACACTGGATATTATCAATATATTGACGGACCTTACTATCAAAAGCACCTCAGAGCTTAAGTGCCAGGGACAAATGTAACTGCAACAACTTATTTCTTGACAAACATGACTGAAAAAAGACAACTTCTCTACCTGCTGTTGTGTCCATCCACTGCTCTTGTTCCTCATCACTGTCAGAGTCGCCATGACTACAGTTCTCATTGGAACTTGACTCTCTCCTACGCTTGCTTCTATAGAAGAACAAACATGAGGAACAAAACCAATTGTGATTACTGACTCTGAGAGTTGACTTCAGCAACGAGAACAGATCAGTGACTTCATTAAAGAAATGATACCAAAACCAAAAGAAGGGGTAGACTTCCATTTCCTTCATTTTTTCATCCGTCTTTCAATTGCTTGGATTTTTTAAACTTCTTCCTTTCTCTGTGAAATGACTCTTGTCATTCCTCAGCGGACAAACATATTGAGGACTAAAGCGGACGTTGCGCTGCTAAGGAATGCGCACGCCGACATTGCTTTATGAATTGTCGGCTAGCTTGGCACATGGCCAGTGCATCGCGACCGTCTTTGGTCATGATGTTATCTTTAGATACATGTACATTAATTAACATACCGTTTGAATCACTAAATAAAGAATGACAAGAGAAAAAGACAAGAGCATTTCCAATTCCAAGGGGAATTTCTCTTTTCTTTCTACATGTGAGTAAACAGTTACCAAATTTATTAGAATCTCCAATTCTCGCTTAATCCTAGGCTGGGTGCATTAGACAGTTTCAGGACCGTTTTGGAGGTGAATTTGGAGGATCTTGATTCGGGGTACGACAGCACATGAGCTACTTTTTGGGTGAAATTAATTAATAGAAGCAAAAGTACATGTATATGCATGGTACTTGGACTCTACAATTGCCAGACTGTGTCCAAATATTAAAAAGGCGATTTGTAGAGTCCAATTCAGTCAACTTTGTTGAATTTGCAGCACTGGCCCAAAATAGTTGATGACAATCGGCATTACAAATTACATTCCAAAAAACATGAGAAAAGATCAGCACAAAAGCAGTTTGTATACATTTGTCACTCAGTGTTTGTGATCGCTGCCAGTGCAACCACTTACCATGCGTACGTGTACATGACTCACAACCAATAACTATGAAAATGTTAGAATTTACAAGATGATCATGCCACTCATGCACACTGCCGCACCAATCGGGGAATAACTTGGGCCTTTGTCCGTTACAATAAGGACACATGAGTTAGGCCCTGTTGATTGGCTATGACTTGGTAATCAGTTACATGTACAATGTACGGTAATATACCAATAGGCATAGCCCTAACATTATAGTAACAACATGCCTAAGTTAGTTCACCATCATCATCACAATCAGGACCATTTCCATGGTATGCAAACATTTAATTAACAAGATAAAGTGATCAACATAAGCCTATTTTACGAAAACATGATGTAGGTAGGCCCTTACGTCCTTACCATGCTTACGAGCATGTTGGCCTACGCATCCTCTTTCACTTGGGTTTGTTATTATGACTTAGTCTACATTTACGGGCCTGCAAAATTCAGATAAAGAACGCTTACCTCATGTTGCCACTCATGTCGATGTCGACCAGTTAATAAATGTAAGCCGCATACGACGTACATGTAAGTACATTGCACGTGGATATCGCGCCAACAAATTACCAATATCGCCCTTATTGAAAACAAAAAGCTAACAACCTTTAAATATTTAGCGCCCTTTATTGAAAAAATTATACCGCCCTCTGTTGAATCAATATTTAGCGCCCTCTATTGAAAATTATAACAGCGCCCTCTGTTGAATCAATATTTAGCGCCCTCTATTGAAAAATATTATAGCGCCCTCTGTTGAATCAATATTTATCGCCCTCTATTGATTCAACATTTGGGGCTCTCTATTCACAATATTATAGCGCCCCCGTTCAACAAATAATTAGCGCCCTCCGATTGACAATGAGTAGCGCCCTCTATTGAACAATATCCAGCAAAAGAAAAAGTACTAGCGCCCTCTGTTGAAAGGAAAGTTAACCAACGTCCCTTATAAGCAGCAGTGCCCCCAGGACTTCATCAAAAAAGGCAAACTTTCATGATTATAGCGCCCTCAACAGGACCTCCAGGGAAACTTCCTAGAGAAATGGCAAAGGCCAAATTCTTGACGGTCACATTGCTCGGTTATCAGACTTTGTGACCCATGAAAATCAGTACGGAGGTTCAGGAAACTATTCACCTCAAAACACCCCAACATCTGCAAAGCCGGAGTTGCAGCCAATGTTCTCGGAACAAGTTCAATCACAACCTCCTTGTTTTACATGTACATACGGGAAAACTCGTGAGATTTGATTTTTGAAAAGCTGCAAGACTATCGAGATGGCTTACAAAACTGGAGACAATGGAAAGTTTTGCACGATAAACATCAATAATTTTCAATGACGGATATGATTTTTTTAATAGAACAGAAGTTGGCTTAAACATTAACTCTCGAAGAATATACAAGGACGCCGCCATGTTGCATGCAAGTAACTAGTAGCGATAACTGGTTGTACGTTCCCGGCGTTCGAGCAGCCGACCCACAAAAACCAAATCGAGCTGTTCCTGAACATACGAGAACAAGCCGACCGAACTCAGCCTTGAAGTATAGCGCCCTCAAAGGTAAAGTACAAGTGCACAAAAAAATGCAACAGCCCCCTCTCCTGACCAAAGGATTGAAAGTAATCAACAATAGACCGTACTCGCGGCGTCCCCAATTTCAGTCGTATTCCTCGACATAGTGTATTTATTGGAAAACATTCAATTCAAAGAACCAGACTATATTCTACAATTTCATTCTGACCCTCAAAATCACCTGGTACTATCCCATTACGGGTTTAAAATTTATACTGTACGTTCAGGAATATGACTGAAATTGGGAACGCTGCGAATACTGTCTATTTTTTTCCACAAACAAGATGAACATAACAGCAAAAAGCTTCCAGGAATTCACACTCTCATTTATCAAAAGTAATGTAATGCAAGTTCCAAAGCAATCACTGAGGCTGAGTTCAGGTGGCCTGTTCTCGTATGTTCACAAACCGCTCAACTTGTTGTTCGTTAGTCGGCCGCTCGAACACCGGGAACGAACAACCAGTTATTGCTGGTTGTTGCATGCATCATGGCGGCATCCATGTACATTCTTTCAGAGTAAACTTTGGAAAGCTGGGCTGAATTCTTTTCTATTTAAAAAGGAACATTCATTTCTTTGCTATGGAAAATGATTATTGTTAATTTTGTAAAATTTCCCATTGTCTCTGGTTTTGTGAGCCATCTCGATATTTTTTGCGGCTGTTCGAAAATCAAAATCTCACGAGTTTTCCTGTGTGTTCCTGCAAAACCCTGACAAGGAGGTGGTGTGTGATCCTGTTCCCAGAACAGCGTTCTTGAGTCGTGTTCCTGCCTTTCGGACGCGAGAACAAGAAACCCGTGCCAAGAACTTGCCGCCCGAACTCGACCTGAGAAATTAAAAATATGCAATTCAACTTAAACTATCTTGGCATTATTCAGAAGTCATTTAATACTGATCGAGTCAAATCAATCTCTATTCCGGTCATAATATATTACAATGCCTTTGGCTTCCTTCTGAACAACCCTCACCTTTAAATGATTCACAAGGGAAAGAACAAATACAAGTTTGAAGAAAGTTACATCAAACTCACAAACATTAGGAGGACAGTGAAAAGAAATTACCAGCAAGATAACAACTTAAATGTAACAATATCACCTTTGTCAAAGCTTATAAATTTCAGGTTTTTTCCCTAAATTGCATGATAGAAAGAATAAATAAAAGTACAGAGGGAATTCAGACTGTAACGATCAAGTCCAATCTTTTTTCAAACAAAACATGAATGATTTCAATAAATTTATGCACTTTCAGTGTAAATACCACTGATCCTGTGAAGCTTTGAGGTTTACATAAATAAATGAATCGAAAAAAGAAAAATTAAAATATCGAGACCTGGCAAGTGCTAGTACCTGGACTTGTCAAGAACATCTTTTGGTAATAAACGGCAGTCAGGCACCAGTCTACAACAAAAATCATATTTCCATCTAAATAAACGTTCAACTTCAGAAATTTAGGTCAGCTGTAGTGCTCAGTTGCCATAAAACAGATATATATTTCTTCTGATAAATTAGTAATTTGTAATATAATTGAATGTTTTAAACTCTTATAATAGCTCCAATAATTTATGGCAGAATGACACACTGAAATTAACCTTTTTTTTTAAACAGATCTCAGCATCTATACTCAAGAGCCATTATGATCGAACATTATTTCTTGAGTTGGTGACAAATTCTTTTGTCTTTCTGTTTTCAATCTGGATGCTGACTATTGCCGTGTTTTGGCTTAAATTTCAGAGAGATTTTGGTAAACGATAGTGTCTGAAGTCCACTTTTGATAGCTCAAATCTTCCAAGCATTTTATTTTTTATTTGTTGAAATTCCAAGCAAAAAAATGCAGACAGCCTGAACGAAGTTGGTCAGGTTTTGAAATTACAAAAACGATGGCCATTTCCTCTGCAGAAAGCAAAATTGTTAACTGTTATTGTTTGAAATGTCCAAAGATTTTTTGGCATTTTTAGGTAAAGATTCAACAAATTTTCAAATGAAAGAGAGTTCCATGAGAAATAATAAGTAAGTTGCCTGTCATTCTCCTGACAAATCAAAATTAAAATCTTACATTCTTTTGTAATGGATGGTCACACTTCCATTTCGTTGATATTCTAACAATGTTGATTCGCTGCCACGTCGCACACCTTAGTTTTTCAGTAGAGCTTTGACCACAGCCTTGATGTTCCGCTTGCGAAGGTCACGGTATGTATGACCGGTACCAACAAAGACGATGGGCTGACCAGTGGTGTAGGTCATTGAGATAGCGGCACCAACCTGCAGGGAGAAGCGAAGGGATGACAATCACAAAATATGTGACTCATTTCAGAAAAAGGTGAAATAACTCGCAAAATACCTTTCCATCCATGGGCTGGTTAACAGCTTACAGGGTAACATTTCTCATGGAAATTTAGGAGGGGGGGCAGACAAAACATCCTTGATCTCAAAAGTTTTCTGAACAAAAATTTGCAACAAACATGTCATGATATTTAAGAGATCTGTACTGTTGGTAAATGGTCCCATAATTTGAGTCTGGTTCCCAATGTCATCAGTGAGGTACCCAGTCCTTCTGCTCTGTAACAATGTCATAACTCACAGCTACCTACCTTATTGTCGATGGTGTCAAATTTGGTGATCACAATGCCACCAATCAGTTGGGGCTGGTCCATGTCTGAGTGGTCAGCCAAGGCATGGTTGAACTTGGCCAACTGGTCCACTGCTTACCAACCAAGGCCTCTACCACAAACAGGACAAGATCTCGCTGGTAGATTTTGATGAGCTGTTTGAGGAGAAGAAAGGAAAACAGGAAAACTATCACCAAAGGATTCTTTCTTTGCTACACTGAAATCACAGCTGGGTTTTAAATTCTCTTTAATTAATGTTATAACTAAATAAATTGTTAATTGCAATGGGTTGATTGTGAAGCCTTTCTTTGTTACACACCAATTCAAGGAGCCAAGACAGCCTCTCTTTGGTACCTAACAATTCAAGGAGCCAAGGCAGCCTCTCTTTGGTACATACCAATTCAAGGAGCCAAGAAAGCCTCTCTTTGGTACATACCAATTCAAGAAGCCAAAGCAGCCTCTCTTTGATACATACAAATTCAAGGAGCCAAGGCAGTCTCTCTTTGGTACATACCAATTCAAGGAGCTAAGGGGGCCTCTCTTTGGTGCATACCAATTCAAGGAGCCAAGGGGGCCTCTCTTTGGTACATACCAATTTAAGGAGTCAAGTATTGCCAGTGCAGCCTTTCTTCAGTTGTATCAATGTAGCTTCCTGATAGAAAGCCTTGACAACAAAGGATGGCTCACCTTGGATAGAGCTTTCATGAGTGGCTCATTGTCTCGCATCTGCCCAGCTGTGTCAATCAACACAACGTCAAAGTGACAATCCCGAGCTGTGAGCAGACAAAAATTATTTAAGCTGTTACACCGTGACTCACTCAGTAATGGGTCTGTGCATGGTCGATAGAGGGAAGTGTGCTCACTTGAATTTCCAAAGCCGATCTTAAAAGAGACTCAGTACAGGTATGTCATTCTCCATCAATAATTAGAAAAAATGAAAAAGTAAGTAAGTTATGTAAACTAACACATCACCCAATAATATGACATCATCTGGTAACGCAGTGACGTCTTCATCATGTTCATGTTCAATCAAAAATGAAGTACCATATTTTTTCAGCCAATGAGAAATCACGGACCATACTATAATGGCTTCCATGGCGATACCAGCTGCATCCCTTCCATAACCTTTCTCATACAGCTGGACCGGAGAGCGCCCTCCGTGTTTCTCTGCTGGATGCAGCGCATTCAGGTGTCTAGTGTGGGTGCGCAGCTGTTCGACGGCACCAGCTCGAAATGCATTTTAGGCTGCAATCAGCACAGTGAAGCCATTCTCCACTAACCAGAAACATATCTGAGAAAAATAAATAGTGCTTCTTAATACCAATTGCTCACAAAGTTCATTGAATATTTACCTCCATAAACTGTGACCTTCAACAACTGAGTTGATAAATTGGCTCTGTTACACAAATCCAATGATAAACTGAAGTTTGATAATCACAACAAGAATGACAAATTCAAGACTAAGTAAAATTAACTGCTAGTTCATTGCTAGTACACCTGTAGATTTTTTATTTCAAATCGATCAACACCTTTTACCGGTTTTCGTCAAGTAAATTCCTGGTAGTTTTTGCCAATAAATCACATACTTACTTCAGCATTTCAACACATAATATGCACATAAGTTTCAACTGCCTTTTCATTTTGACAACTTGAGAAATTGACGGCACACCTTGGCTAGGTCGGTGGATTTCTTCAATCCATTAACTCCACAGAAGACCATAGAGTAAGGCTTGCCACGAGATCTTGCTTCCATGGCATCGCGAAGGATGTCGATTCGACGACACGGAGACAAGATCTGAACCAGGGACTCCTCGATGCCTTCACGGATGACGGAGGTTACACCTGAAAACAAAACAGGAATCAAAGCATAGGTCAGTAGAAAACCAAACAAGCTTGTTAAGAACTGAATCAACTCGTCTTGATTCTTTCACAGATGACTGAGGTCACACTGACAGCAAGCAAGAATAGAACCATGGGTCAGTAGAGAAAGTAAAGATGCTGGTAAAAGACTTTATTTCGAAGACTTTTGCCACAAGCAAGAAGAAGGAAATTTTACGACAGGAAGCATTAAAAAAAACATTAAAAGGATCTAAACCAGCATTCAATACTTCCCAAATTCATCAAAGTTCTTCCATTTGGCGGACAAAATGGCACCAAGGACTGACCAAAAGAAGTATCAGTCTTTCAATCAAACTCTCTTGCTTAAATTAAAACTCCCAGAATATCTTCATGGAGCGCCTTCTCTAGTTTGCCATAATACAAAAATGTACATGCACCAAATCTGAAGATATCATAGTATGGAGGGTTTGCATGATGGCTGCCATATTGAAGGTCGGAGCTTGTATTGCACAAGACATGCACAAAATAGATTTCCCTGTGGAACTACCCGGCAAGATGGCTACCACGCAAAATCTCGATACTTTGTCCAATCAAAGCTTTAGAACAGAGCAAAGAAAAGCTAGCTGGGGAGGAATTTCAACCTTTGACCTGTGTACTGACGATGTTTGGCTTACGGCTGAGGGTTCCCATGATTTTTCCCTCCAGCTTGGTAGAGACAGAATCGCAATTTCTCAGCGATGTCACGGGCCACATTCTTGACTGCAAATTGAAAACAAAAGTAAGGAACAATTATCAAATTGTTTGTCCCAAATTAAATTTAATTCAATATAATTATCGGAGCAGTGCTTTCCTTTTAAACCTACTCCCCTTGGGGTATGGAAAATGTACCAACATTGAAGGATTGAGGACTGTTAGGGTTCACAAACGAATTCAACCCCTCTTGAGACGTCACCCTATTCAGTAAAGTGTGGATTATTCTTAAGAATCAACAGCTTTTAAGAATGTAGAGTTTGGGCATTCTTCAAACTAATAGATCAAACTTGACTTGATAGAAACAGACAAAGCACTTGTGACATTAAATTTACAACATCAAACACGGTGAGAGACACTCTCAACAATAAAGTAAATTGTTTTAGACGTTCAATACAGTTAACACTCAAATTGTTAGATTTGACGCAGTAACATTTTCTGTTGAGATTAGTGATTTTCAATTAAAGCAAACCGCTCCTTATGTTGCACTGTGTTATGTTTTCAATGTGTCTTCTTCCTTTTAACAAATCCCTTCCATTTACTTCAGCCAGACTTGTACTCAAACCTTGGTTCAAGCATTCATTATGTGTAAGGTTGACTGTTGTAATGGCTTATTATATGGACTTCCAAATTCTCAGATATCAAAGCTACAAAAGTTCAGAATGTATGTGTCAGACTTGTGTGCAACTCTGCTAAATACTGCCACATTTCCCCTTTGTTGGTTAAATTACACTGGTTGCCTATTCGACAAAGAATTCCATTCAAAATACTTTTGATAACATTTAAGGCTTTGCATGGCTTTGCACCAGGTTATATCTCAGAATTAGTAACACGTAAATCCCAATCACATATGTACAGTCTTCGTAGCTCACAGGACAGGTTGATCCTTAGTCATCCCTATCGTAGAACTAAGACAACTTTTGGAGACCATGCACTGCTCCTAGGCTTTGGAACAACCTGCCCTTTCATGTAAGAAATGCTAAATCTGCCGACACATTCAAGATTGATCTAAAAACTCATCTCTTTCATGAAGCTTTTTCCAACACCTGATTTTCATCTCTGCTAGTGATGTGCAGTTGAGTATATTTGTACAGTATAAACCATTACAACAGAAATGTTCCTTTTCATTATTATTATAGTTATATTTTCACATATCCCTTCCATTTTAGTTTAATTTTCACATATCCCTTCCATTTAAGTTTAATTTTCACATATCCCTTCCATTTTAGTTTAATTTTCACATATCCCTTCCATTTTAGTTTAATTTTCACATATCCCTTCCATTTTAGTTTAATTTTCACATATCCCTTCCATTTTAGTTTAATTTTCACATATCCCTTCCATTTTAGTTTAATTTTCACATATCCCTTCCATTTTAGTTTTATTTCATGTTTTTTTTCCCGTTTCATTTTAAAATAAAATTTGAATGTTATATAAAAGGTTTATTATTTTTATAATTTTCTTTGTGTATTTATTTTGAAATTCACATTTAGCCACTTTGTTTTTGGTTAAACTTCAGTTTTACCTCTTTCTGTTATTTGACAATTTTCAAAAACAACTTCACCATTCAAAATTCATGTACAATTTTTTAAAACAGATTAAACATTTAGAAACTTTCGCATAATACTTCCCAGATGAATGAGATAATATTCCAAATGCGTGTATTTCCGAATGAAAGAATTTCCTTTGTGACTGAGCGCTTTCGATAAGTAAGCATGGACTTCCAAGGCTGTAAGGAAGCGTCTAAAAATTAGGAACGTTCCCGTTCTCTCTCGGAATGCTACTTTGTAGAAGGCTGCCTGTTCCCTCTGGGAACGGTCTGTGTTCTTCAACGGAACATGGCGCGTTCCCGTGGGAATGGTGACTGTTCCTTTTTGTGTGTTTTGTGGGATTTACAGATAAACAGGATAAACAAGACTTTGGCAAATATGGCAAAGGACAATGGATGTATTTATTATTTTTTTTTTAAGTGCTATGACCTAAAGTGTAGCTGTTCCTAGACATACTTTATGATACGTCAGACGATCAGATGCCTTGTGTGGAGAAAGTGGGTTAAACCATTCCAGAAGGTGCCCGCTGATTGACTTGGCGACCAGTTAAAGATCCAATCATTGCTAGCAGTTTTTCAAGTGATGGGCTCAATTTGAAAAGTGACAGACAGCTGCAAAAATGTGTTCATATGCTGTCAAGTAAAGGCACTTTTTTAATTGGGTCTGGTTATTTGTTGCTGGCAAATCTTAGGAAAAAGGAAACCTTCAGTTATGACAAATGTCATAAAAATATGAATATCATATTGATCGTTATTATTTCATTCCCTTCATTCTTATCTACAGGTTTACCATTTCCATTTTTTTAACAAAGGTTTCTGTTGTCTGTTTTACTGTTTCACACTCAAGTAGATTTGTTAACTTTCTAGGGTGGAGCCCTGTTGAAGAGACGTTCACGATTCTTGCCAACAGTCTCCTCATCTGGCCGCTTTTCTTGCTGATCATTTTGCCGTTGGTAATTATTAGGGCACGGATAGGCTCAAGCTTAATTACAGCTGGAAGATATGCAAATATGCAAAGTCTGACGGCCATTTGTACAAGGTGCTCAACTCTTTTAATCAGGAAGAATTCCACAACTGTGCAGAAATAAACATAAATGTGCAGGAACATCTACATTTTCGGCATTAACTCGCCGCTCTATGGCGTTGCAACTTTAGACCACACTAGACAATAGAGGATGCTCTCTTAACAATGTCATAGCTCCTAGCTACGTATCTTAAGGTTGGCAGCTAGGAGCTATGACATTGTTACTAATGTCACAGTTCCAAGCTGCCTACCTTAACCACTTGCTGCCGAGTTAAATTTCAAGTTGCATAACGTAAAACTGGGAGATTTTCAAGAATTCCTGTTTTCAAAATTCAAAAACAGATGACAGTCTGGTGGCTACTCTAATCTAACACACAACATCTATTGATGGCCAAGTATTTCAGCCAGGCCTGCCACCTGGTAAAAAGAGTCCAGATTGTGCGGTGTTACAGAGGTTTCTTTTGTTCACAAAACTGGCACAGTGCGCGGCTGGCGTCTTCTCAAAAGGGGCCATATTAACGTCCGGCGGTATTGCATCGCTCATCACTAAAGCGCTGGAGCACTTTTGCCCCCGGTGGTATTCAGCTCTCGCTGAATGCCACAAACAGTGGTATAATCTTTCAAAACAATGACAGATTTCTTCCGCAGTTGACAACTGAAAAAATGTTAGCAATTCGCAGAAGCTTCGTCTTTTGTTTTGAGCATTGTCTTTTGTTAAAAGGAACAACACTTTTGTTCGGTTTCGAGCTCCCCTGATTCGAGGTACCCTGGCAAAAGTGGTTAACAATGTCACAGCTCCTAGCTTATAGCTGCCTACCATAAATATCATAGCTCATAGCTGCCTACCTTAACAATGTAGTAGCTCATAGCGCTTACCTTAGCCACTTCATGCCGGGGCATTTTTCAATGTTGATGATGCTGGGCCGGCATAACTATCATTTTTACCGTTTTCAAAATCTTTTGAAAATTCATCATTTCATTTAACGGTCGTTTATAGCCGCACCAAGTAATTTTTAGCCAATACTCTAAGTTGACAGTTGACCTTCATTGACACCTGAGTATTTCAGCCAGGCCTGCAGCCTTGTAAACAGAGCCCAGATTGTGCGGTGCTGTATAACTGTCTTTTGTTCACGAACCTGACTCAGTGCACTGCAGACCTCTTTTCAATAGGGGCCACATTAGTGTGCAGCGGTGCTGTGTGGCTCATCGCTGCAGTGGTGAAGCACTTTTGTCCTCGTTGGTAATCCGCTGGCTCTCAATGCCCCAAACCCTGGTATACGGTTTCAAAACAAGGCTGGATTATC